ACCTTTGTTATCATCTCTGTTTCTTTAAATTAAATATTGTTCGAAAAACCCGGCTGCACTTGAGCAGTCAAAGTGCTTTAAACAACATCATTCATCCAAGCACTTTATTTATATGCCTAAGTGCTTTCTATCTAAAATTCAGACACACTCATGCACTGAACAGACAGCAACTTTGGGTTCAGTACCTTCCCCGAGGATACTAAGGCATGGCTGTAGCAGCCAGGGGTTGAACCACCAACCTTCTGACTAGAAGGGGACCTGCTCTACCTGCTAAGGAATTGCTAGCCTTTAAAAGTAAAGTATTTTTACATAAATTGTTATGATGTTTGATTTAGTAACGCAATAATGTGGGTCCATCAGACCTGCTAATATTGGCTAAATAGCAAAAATATGAACACAATACAGAGGTTAAGTAAAACATTTGATTTTGTCATTAGGCTCAGGCTCAAATACAGGCACAGCTTTTCTTTGGTATATAGCAGAGGTCCCCAACCCCCGAGTCACAGACCGACACCGGGCCACGAGAGTTGAAGATCACGTGTGAAATTTATGTTTTTATTTTTTATCGTTTTTATCATTAACTCGGTTTCCCTGGGTCTTTTCCTGTGTATTATGATTAAATTTTCTTTTTGTTGGTGCCGGTACTGGTTTTATTTTGTTGCATTTATCCGCAACACCTTAAAGGCCTGTCCGTGAAAATAGTCGGACATAAATCGGTCCGTGGTGCAAAAAAGTTTGGGGACCGCTGGTTTATAGTAAATGCAAATCTTCTGACCATCCAACTAAGAAGACACATAGTCAACCCAAAAAACTTAATTAGACAGTGAAGCTGATTGAAGAAGGGTTTTAAGTGTGACCAGTAACTTTATGAAGAACACTCGGGGGGCTTGGTGCTATACTGACCATCTAGATGAAGCAGAACTTCTAATTATACTTCTTCTGTTTGCACTCAACCTCTCACTGCCAAACATCTGTAGTTTTTGCTTTTCACACTGTGGCCTTCAGTGCCAGCAGGACTGGCACATTAAGACAGAAGTGCTGTTTCTAGATTTCTGGTGAGATGCAAAAAGACAAGTTCCGTAAAATTGCCTCCTTCATTCCTGTGAACTTCTGTCACTTGAGATCGGCATTCCTGAAAGAGTGTATGAGTGGAGACATGAGACATGAGCTGCAAGATGGGAAGTGTTGGTTAAAGTCAGTTTAATAAGTATGCAATTTTCTACTTGAACGATTAAGTGAAATTCTAGGTTACCTAGCAGGGAAAAACATTACCTTCCTTGTATTAAGGCTTTTTTCCAATTAGAAGATTTAAAGTCCTGCACTCTTTGGTCCTTTCAATCATGGTGAAGCCCAAATGCAGATAAGGTGATACCAAAAAAATAAAATAAAAAAAGGTTCAAATGTTATAGGGTTGGTCTTCAATGCCTCCCTCTTGAAAAAGCACACCATTCTGCAGCAGCACTTTGCAGTGCATGCTACATGTCAGACCCAGTATCTCTATTTTTTTGTCTAATGGAGTCTTTCTTATTTTTTTGCTCTTCTTTATCTCTGCCTGTTTGTCCCTCCTTAGTTTTGACATGTCTTTTCCTTTCTCGTCTGTGTGCCAGTTTGCACCCTCGCACAAGCTTTTCAGCACTTCTTAAGGTCCTTGAGGAAAACAGAATGAAGGGGTCACTGTTCCTCCTCCCTGTCAAAAAGCAGATGCACACATGATTACTGGCCAGTGGAGTGTCCTAACCACTCAGACAAAATGCAGCATTAAAAATTGACTCATAGATAACTACTGTAGTCAGTATACCAATTAGTTATTATAGTAATTAGTTATTGTTAGTGGTGGAAGAAGAGGTAAAACAGTTTATTACACTGCTGTGCCATTTATATTGCATATTGAAATTGATTTGCAACTTACAGCCTTTAAATTTCACTGCTTGTCAGTCGTAGGATTTGTTTACAAAAACAGTTTGTTGACTTTCATCCTGTTTCGCTCCACAATGATATTTGAACAGCATCCTGCTGGACTGCATTGCAGAGCATGGTTAACCTGTGACTACCTCCCTCTTACTAATGCTCTAAAGCACCCCTGCAGAAATAACAGAAAAAGTTGTAATGGGGTAAATGCTCTGTTTCTCCACTGCTCAAACAAAAAACACAACTAAGAACACACAAATATTTTAGAAATGTGTCAAAAAAAATTGCTTAAAACTAAAAATGATATTCTAAATAACAATCTGAATACATGTTTCTGAATTCGTTGGGGACCGCTGCCTTAAGTGATATTATTTTCACGTACTAGTGTATATTACTGTATTTTCATACACACAAGTAAAGCCCAAATTAAAGCGACTGACAGGTTGAGCAAATAACAGCACTGGCAATGAGATTCATGTGTACCTAGCTTAGGTAGCAACTTTGAGTGCCAGCTGCAGTATCCAGCAGTCTTCCATAGCAGTACAGTTGGTCTGATCCACCCTTTATTTTAACCAGTAGTAAGACAACTAGTTACAAGGAAATACAGCTATATAATGAGGTCGGAAGTCTGCGTTTCCATAACTGTAAAATCGGCTGGAAGCTGCATGGTCTTAGCTGTGTGGCATGGTAAAATGTGAGACGTGGAATTAGCACTATGGCCTGGCTCATAGCTGCAGATGGAATAACATGCTAGAGATTACACATGTAAGCAGATCAGCTTGAGTCCTAAGGTGATTAGATTGAGAATATCAAAAAAGGAATTATGCTCAAACAAAATCTGCATTGAATCATTGACAGCGATATTGACATGTGCACTCGGATAGACTGTAATTGGCATGAGTTCAGTGGGGGCAGGGCAGTTGTAACACAGCTTAACTGTATTTCTGTTGGAGTATGGTGCCAGTTGTCTTGTATGATCATCCCTCCTTATATTCTAGCCAGCAATGGAGCTAAAGAGGATTTTAAAAAATGGTATTAACCAAATGCACCATGTCAGGCACACTGATGTTTAATTCTTAAAAAACAAAAATCACACTTATCAAAACTCTGAAAGGAAGGGTTTCTTTTAAGAGTTTATCTTGCTCAGATGGCTTAGCTGTGTTAAAATATTAATTTATCAACAGTCACTACACTTACTTAATTTAATAAATCATTGTTACTGCAGAAACTGTCAAATCTGCATCTCACTTTTTAACTGAATACTTTTAAACTGTTCATGCATTTATAGCACTCTTATGAGTGTGTGAGCGTGTTATCTTTCTTGGTATGTCTACCAAATAAGATTTAGAAACTATGACAGCAATTACAGCTTCTCTGTTTTTAAGTCTTGGTCGATCCTCAGTAAGTACCTGTGAACAGCTATATTCGAGTCTCAACAGCAAGTATACGTGTAATGTAAGGTTTGGCCTGGGCTTTGGGTGGGCCCCTCATTGACAATCAGACTCTTCTTAAAGCCAAACCTGGTTTTCGTTTGCCCTGAAGGCAGGATTTATGGTGTGCTTCTCAAATGTTTATCCTCCTGGGAGGACTTCTGAAGCTCTGTTACAGCCATCATTCAGGGCAAGTTTGGATACACAGTTTGATCAGACATCCAAGAAGTTTGGTGCCTTCAAATGTCTTTGACAGTTATCGGGGTCACTGTTCTCCTAGGAACACTTTTATACACAAGCCTTGTCCCAATTTGTCCAAGTTCATTTGCTGACTTCTACAGTAAGTTCTGTGGACTTCATTAATTGGGTTTTGAGACTCTAAATGTGTTTGCTAATGAGACATTTCTAGTTTTAACATTTAGATGTTTTTTTGTAAATGTATTCATCTCCTAATGATAAGGTATTAGGAGATCTGGGAGAAAACTTCCTATTGTCAAGCTGCTCCCAGTCTGCTTCAAGTCTGCAAAAAGTAAAGAGGTCTGCATTCTGAGATAAAACAGAGGTTTAGAGATCAGAACGCCACTAAATGTAAACAGATTTCTCTGAAATACAGTATTACATTTTTTCCCAACTTAACTAACCCTAATCCTTAGTCTGACAGCTAACAGTGCAGAATTCTGATGTGTACTGATCTTTGTACAGCAGGTCTTTAGTTGTTTCTTTTCTCTTCCTGTTCATTCCCCAGTTCTTGTTTTTGCTGTGGTAAGCACTCAGTTGGGACTTAAAAAGCAAAAAATATAATTCATATTTGTCATTAGGGTCAAATGCATTAGGATTTTAAAGGATCCTTATAAAAGTTCAGAAGCCATAAAACTGTAAAAGCTGAAGGAGACAGAAATATGGAAAAAGTGACCGAAAAGACGAACAGTTATTTTGCCGTCTGCCCGCTTTAATCTGCAGTAATGGATTTCTAACTGTAAAAATATTATGCTTTAAAAACTGTATGTTTATATCTCTGAATTCAGTTAACTGTGTAATGACAAAATGTCAGCTTTGTTGCAGTTTATTTATTTATTTGTAAAACTTAAAGAAGATTACCCAAATAAATACAAAATACCCTGTTTAGGATCATTCCAAAGCATCTCCATGCTAGTGTCCCAGTGCTGTCAACGACTTTGTTTCTCATTTGTTCTTGAGTCTCTTTAGAGCCTATTTCACTTTGTATTTAAGTGATTCGACAGATCTGTCAGTAATCAGGGCTGTGTGTGGCTAGTGCAATTACTTTTTCACATAAGACCAGGTAGATTTACATATTTTTTTCCCTTAATACATGGAAATAAATCTGCATTTTGTATTTACTCAGGCAATCTTTGTCCAACAACAACTTAGAAATTCTTAAATTGTTTTTAAACAGTTCCATGAAAAAGTACTTTCCCCTGTCTTGATTTCTGACTTTTCACCACCACGTTCACTGGTAGCCACTGATTTTATATGACTTTTATCACATCACAATAGATTATTTCTATTCATTCTATAAAAGAAGGTAGCAGCTAGAGAAAATAGCAGCTATGCAGGTTTTTCTTTGTTTTATTGTGTATGTTTCCTACCTTTATTAATTTTATTGTTCATATTTCCTCTCCAACCTCTGCTCTGTCTCTTCAGCCCCCCCAACTTTCACAGATACACCACCTCAGTACGTGGAGGCCAAGGAGGGGGGGAGCATCACTTTGACCTGTATAGCCTTTGGGAATCCCAAACCCTCAGTCAGCTGGTTGCGGGAAGGTAGTCTCATGGTCAGCAGTGCCAAGTATAAGGTAAATACTTTATATTCGTATCAGCTGTTTATTAAATATGTTACTATAGTCATACTATGTTTAGACTAACAGTTGCAGGCACTGAGACCACTGTGTTTGTACGAAGCATCTGGCCTCATCATGCAAAGTCTACCAGCAAGGTGCCGACTCGACAGTTAAATATGTAAAAGTTTACTTGTTAGCAAACTGTTGCTTCTTTACACCAGTAGCTGATACGGGGCTACACCATCTTTTAGTTTCAAGTTTTAGTACAATCTGATATTGAATGTTTTTGTAGCTCCACATTTGGTCTCTACCAGTTTTGAGTGAGTGGGGTCTTTCACTTAGCTCAGTTTTCTTAGCATCATATATAAACAAGGAAAAAATGCCAAGAGATACTTCCACAGATGTCTAGTCTTGTAGTCTTAATCATCAGAGCAGAATTCAGAAGTCTAGTGAATATTGCAGACGTTATGGTTTTCTCCCACATGTTCTCTTCACTGTGAGTGTTTGTGTGTAGGGGGGCATGGAGCACACTGGCTGAGAGATGGTGAGAAGAGAAGCTAGTGTCACTCAAGTTGATGGCATCTCATTAGCCTGCAATAAAAGCTTCCCAACAAGCAAAGATGATCAGAAAGGTTTGATGGCAGGGAGCTTAGTGCTGGCTTGCAGGTCTGCTGGAGAGGAATAACATTTAAAACCTCTCTGGTGAAAGTCTGTTGCTGCCTTGAACGTCTCACATTGGTCACTTAAAAAATGTTTTGAGCTGTAACAGCATCTCGGGTCAGGCTGTTGTGACTTAACTTCTCAGGTTGAATAAATGCGTTCGCAGTCTTTAGATTGAGAGATCTACGTTTGAAATGGCAACATTCAATTAACAGACAACTCCTCAGCTTGACTCCTTGTTTCCTTACTACTTTCAACAATCAGAGATTATAAGATTCACTGTGTGTTCCAGCACTGGGAGTTTTTCTCAGTAACCATTATTCCATTCACACATAATGTAACAGAACTTTTATTTTCATTTAAAAAGAAGCCTTTTGTGATCGTTTTGTTGCTGTACAGTAATGAATCCTGCAAGAAGAACGGGAATGACTCCCTCAGTTTAGATCAATTATTTAGGTGACTGAGCTTTGTTCACAGGAGAGTTATACATATAAATTTGTCCCTCTCTCAGGCAGCAGCTTTCTCCCAAGTTAGTCACGATACTTTGGGCTGTTATAGACTGATAACAACCGTAAACCATGAGCATGTGCTAACACAAAGATGTGGGAGAGATTTTAATCTGAATAACAATTTGGTTTTGATATGAGTGGCTGCACACTGATCTGATTTAGGAGAAAAATCTCTGAAGACAGATCTGGATGGTGAGCAGTGCTTTAATTTAACAAAATAAGTGGTAATGTGGTGATGTTTGGGTTTCCACTGTGGAAATGGGCTGTTAGATGAAACTCCCAGGGATGGTTGCGGTTGCCTAGATTTCCAGCAGGTGGAAGGGTGCCAAAAATTAGGATATGCTCTCAACCCAAGTCAGCGATTCAGTAGGTTTTATGCAAGACAGCGACGATCTGGAAAAAATAAAGTCATTTTCCAAAAATGGGTTCTGCAGTTATTGCGTCTGATTTACTGACCTTTTTATTTGGTGTTCTGTTATTGCTGAGGTCATTGAGTGTCTGCCCCAAATAAAAAACTTTCACACTGATATTTTCTGTCTTCATGTGAGTCCTCAGATGTCTAACTAAGGAAGCACATAAAATGAAGCTGTATGTGGTCAGGAACCTGGATATTATAGGAATCATACAGGGATATGGGAATAACAAACATGCAATAAATAACAGGGATTGGTCTGCAAGTAGACATACTACCTGGCAGATGATGTTGATTGCAGGCATTTTTTGTTATAACAAACAACTTGCTGCCCTCTGGCCAGGTCTCATTCAGAAAAGACTTTTCACCTGGAAAAATCATTTTTTTTCAGAGAGTGTTTCATTTTTTGGGTTAACCCATGATTCTATTTTTGTTCTTGGTGACCGCTGAAGTTAAAGTTAATTTAGATAGAAGTTCAAATTAACTGCTCAAGTAAGTGCTTGGAGGCATTTGTAAATGGTTGCCAATTAGCAAGACTTGCTTCTATAAGAGGTTTGGCTGTAAAAGGAAATGTTTAACAGCCACACTGCATAACACAACATACTGCTCGAAGGACTTAAACCTAGCAGACCGAGTCAAAATCAAAGGAAGCTACTTTTTGATCTCGAATGGGTCTAACTCCTTGGCACTTTCACAACCAAATTCAAAGACTTTGATTGATTAGTTGCTTTTAACACTTAGGATTGTCTTGTTTCTGTACTGCGATATAGCGCCAAATGACATCAACAGTCGCCTAAAGGCGCTTTATATTGTAAGGTAGACCCTACAATAGTACTTTCAGAGAAAAACCCAACAATCATATGACCCCCTATGAGCAAGCACTTTGGCGACAGTGGGAAGGAAAAACTCCCTTTTAACAGGAAGAAACCTCCAGCAGAACCAGGCTCAGGGAGGGGGCTCATTACAACAAAACTATTTGTCTTCTGGCTTTTATTCAGTACTGACGTTTAAAGTTACATGTTTGTGTGTGCGCTCAGGTGTCCGATGGGAGTTTGACGGTGCTATCCATCACCCGGGAAGATCGGGGGGCCTACATGTGTCGAGCCTTCAGCCCCCAGGGAGAGGCTATTCACACCACACGGCTGCTAGTACAAGGTAAGGAATTTTAAGGATTTCCAATATTGCATCTTCATTCTGTCCTGTGGTCCTTCCCTTGGTGATTTCATTAGGAGTTATGAAAAATAGATGTTTTTTTTGTATTTTACAGGTTTACAGGGAATGTTTTTAAATAGACGAGTCCAAACATCTCACACCAAAATGAAAGTCAGTCATAATTGTTAAACTTGGTAACATTTTAGGATGTGGAAATATTAGAAACATTGTGGCTCCATAGTGTAGTGGTTTACACATTTGTCTAAAAAGATCCCTGATTTAGTCTTTAAAGAAAACCCAAATCCCATTTAGGGTTGCGTTAGGAAGGGCATGTGGTGTGAAAATCATCCAAATCACACACACAGAGCTTCCTGCTGAAGCGACTCTTTGGGAATAAGGGAGCAGCCAAAAGTAAAAGTCATCAGTATAACATTGAAGTAGATTAGTGTCAGTGGTAACCAATTTACATAAAAGGTCAGATTTGCTTGAGCCGTGTCCTCCCCGGAAAGCAACATTTAGATTATACTTAGGTAGATTTGTGGCTCGTCCATCTGCTAATTCAAGTTTCAAGTTCAAGACTAACTAGCACAGTAGGGAAATATGGATTCAGAGCTAAGTGACATATCAGGACATTCTAAACAACGATGAGTTTTCTCAGCATAGACCAAACCTGACTAGACTCAAGAGAGCAGGTCATGAAGCTCTAAAACACTGGAAATTGGATCAGCTGTGCCTACAGTATTGGGAAGACAAAAGCGAGCACACCATCAGAATACAAATGATAAGGATGTTTGTAGAATTATTACACAAATGTATCTTTTCAGCCAAATTGTTAGGATGGACTTGCCATTGGCGATGAATCATTTTTCAATAAATTTAGAGCCAGATTGAAGTAAAACTTGCAACTTCACACTGACAAACATCTGTTAGCTCTAGCATATTTTAAAAGTTCACTGAGAAGTGTCAGAACAGGATTTATTAGGCAGTATCAGACGTGGGGAATATGCTCCTGCAAGATTGTGATTTGTGATTTTTCCTTTTTTTTTTTTGAGAGAAAACATCAGTGTCACACTGTGAGACACTTTCAGTCCAAAAGCACACGTCCCCCTCCGTTACCTGTCACACACAGAAACTAAGCACATTGCAAAACCAGCCAAATTTGTTGGTCATTCATCTCAGAGCCTAAACCTCTGCACCATTTTCTATGCAAAACCATCCCCCACAGCAACAGACAGATAACAGCATACCTTCTGAGCTAACAGTGAGTGTCTATTTGGGTATATTAAACATTTGCATGCTTTGCTTTTCAGTGCTGTTTATGACACATACTTGCCATGTTGATCCTTTCACAATTTCATTGTCATTCTGGGTTGTTTTCTCCTGTCACTGCATATTAGTAGATCATCACATCGCACAGAAAACTATGGTACATATGCTTCTTTTGCTAAAAATAGCACCATTCCATCAGGGAAGCTGGATCAATCCATTTCTGTGGGTATGTGGGGGTAAATGTGGTATCAGCAGGTGGAGTTTGGATGGGCTCCCATAATGGCCAATCACGTCAGCTCCCTTTACTGCCTTTGAAATGCAGCACATGGTTGAATGATGGTCAGTCTATGGCTGCTTTGCTGGAGAAAACTGCTCTGCTCTCATAGATGCAGAGGCACAGCACAACATTACGTTGAGAATTTAAAAATATGACTTTGGGGCAGACAGATCTATTATTGAATTTAATTCTCTGTCTGGTTTTAAAGATAAAGTGATATTACTTTATAGAGGCTGGTGTTTTAACTGTGAGTTTGTGATCACGTCAGTGTTTGAATATTGATACATTTCAATGTGTGTAGATTCTACTGGAGAGAGCAGCAACTAAAGAAAGATGAGAATTTCTAGGTTCACTATGTTTAACATGTTGCTTCAGAAATAATCACATAAGTAAATAGCATGTTACCAGATAATATGCAAATATTATAATATCATAATTCAGTTTGCTGACGTGAAAACATATCAGATCACTGTGGCACATCCCCTCTTGTTTTCACTGGTCTCTAAACATCTGGAAACTGAGGCGAGTTGTTGGACTTTTGGGAAAGGAATGTTGTCCCATTCTTGCGTGATAGAGGATTCTAACTCCTCAACACTCCTGGTCATCTTTGTCATATTTTTCATTTCACGATGCACAAAAAACGTTCAATTGGTGAGACGTCCGGACTACGGGGAGGTCAGTTTGTACCCTGGCTCTTCCACTACAAATCCATGCTCCTGTAATAGATGAAGTATAGTTTTGCATTGTCTTGCAGAAATATAGGAGGTCTCCCAGAAAAGCTGTAATCTGGATGGGCGTATATATTGCTCTAAAACCTGTCTAAACTTTTCAGCATTGATGGTGCCTTTGCAGTTATGGAAGTTGCTCAATTCACTTATGCACATGTTTCTTCATGTACTCGATGCATGGCGTTTGAACTGAGCCCTGATAACAAGCTGGATGGTCCTTCTCCTCTTTTATTCAGGACATTTGGCATGCATGTTCTCCAACAAAAACTCTACATTTCAATTTGTCTGACGAGAGAACTGTTTTTCACTTTGCCTAAGTCCATTTTTAATCGAGTTTGGTTTCTGAAGTTCAAGTTTCTGGATCATATTCATATATAAGGTCTTCTTTTCACGAAAGACCTTTAACCCTATATTAATGGATGGCACACCAAACCGAGAACACATACAATGATTTCTGGCAGTGTTTCTGATCCCAGGCAGTTATTTCAATCACAGAATCATATATGATCTTAATGCAGTCCTGTCTGCTACTTTTTCAGCTAATTAGCTTTAGTAGCTAGCTACAAAGGTCAATAGGCCAATAGAACTGCATCCCTGCATTGCAATATGGCTTTAATATTTAGACGAAGTAGGTTTTTAAAGCCATGGCTGGAAACTTGAATACGCAAGCAGAACATGAGTAATGATACGCCTGATACTCAACTGTTGATATATACTGAGCACTTGGAAAGCGTGTCTTCTGCCCACCTTTTTGTGCAAACTCACTGACATAACACAAACATGAACTATAGCATACATACATCCACAGACGACTTCTCTCCAACCCACAGGACTGAAAGTATCAGTTGTGAATGTTTATGTAACAGACACCACAGACCTCCCACCCAACCCAACCAAGGGCCCGCGCCCATGCCCTAAAAGTTCACAGCTGTTTTAGGTATTTTGATGTTAAGGTCAAACAGTGACATCTAAATTTGCATTTTGCCGAGATAATTGAGCAGTATCATGCTGCAGGATTAGCAGACATTTTTCTATTCACTGAGACATGCTGCTAGCATTGCTAATAATGTAAAAGTTTGCCCTAATTTAAAATGTGTTCATCTAAATCGGTCTTCTGCCTGGTGTAAAACAGTCACAACCTTTTTGATAGCAGCTGGCTGCTCCCTCAAGCATGCTATCACTTTCATATGAACACACCAGGCTGAGCAGAATTTAAATAGTGTATGATGCAGCAGTGTGTTTAGGAGTGAGACTAGAAAGACAATGCTTAAATTAGTTCAGGGACGTCTTACAAGTACATGGTACATCAGGAGCATGTGAGCTAAGATAAAGAAATAAGAATGAGTGGATGCTTTTTTTTGACTCATGCTCTAAATTAAATGTCAACTTCTGTATCTAAAGCAATTCGTCTGTCTCAGTCCAGGCTCCACCACAAAATCATCAAATATAAACCAAAGGAATCAGTAATTGTCTCTGATGTCTTCCATCATACACATGTCACTTCTCAATGTCGCTGGTATTTTTCTTCTGGAAAGGAAAAGTAAATATCCTTCAAATGTGTGACTTTGCAGCAATTTCAGAGGTGATTTGTCTGACCAAAGAGGAAAAATAATAACACTCTAACCACAGCATCCCAGGTCATATAAGTTAAAGATCACTTCCCAACAGTTGAATGGACATGATCTGACCACTACTGAACTGAGGAAATTGAAACTTGATCTCTAATTGAACCATTTTCATTGACTACACACACAGGGAGTGAAGAAAATGAGTGAAGAAGAAATGCTTATTGCAACATAGGAAGCCTCCAACAGCCTAGACCTATTGCAGAGTAACTAAAGGAGGATTCAGATTCACCTGGTCCAGCCCTAACTATATGCTTTATCAAAAAGGAAGGTTTTAAGCCTAATCTTAAAAGTAGAGTGAGCGTGCCTCTCTAATCCAAATTGGGAGCTGGTTCTGCAGTAGAGTGACCTCATGCTGAAGGCTTTGCTTCCCATTCTACTTTTAAAAACTCTGGGAACAACAAGTAAACCAAAATATTCTGTTAGGATAATAAGGCACTATGATGATGTGACGATATGACTGATTATTGAAGATTTTGTATGCGTTTTAAATCCAATTCTGGATTTAACAAGAAGCAACTAAACAGAAGTTACAATGTCCCAATTGGTTCTCTTGCTGCAGAATTCTGGGTCAGTTGAAGAGTTTTCAGGGATCCTTTAGAACAATCTAATACGAAATTATACTAGTTCAGTCTCAAAGTAATAAATGCATAAACTAGCTTTCCAGCATCACTCTGAAAAATGATGTTTCTACTTTTAGCCATATGTTGGAAAGAAATGGAGGTAGTCCTGCATATTTGCTTATTGTGCATGTTGAACTACTCCAGGATTCTTCATAATATTACTGGAGGCCTTGGCTTCATGCTGTTCTAGTTCACTTCCCACATAGCTAAACCTATATCATTAACAGCCTATATATGAGCCAGTATACTTGGCTTGTGAGTAACCTGTTGATGGCATAGGCCCTACTACACCAACAACTCGTTTACCTTTCCAGTTGATTTTTCCCCCACTAGAGACCCCAGCGACTGTAGTAAAATGTATTCCAGGGACCAAAAAACACTAAAGTATATTTGAAACTGCTGGATAGGGATAGCATAGATTTGATAAGACTGGAATTCAAATCGGAATTCAAATCATAAGGGAACCTCTTAGTTCCCTTAT